CACCAGCACCAGCACCACCACCGCCGCCACCACCACCACCAACAACAGCTAAACCAGCGGTAGCAGCCGCGACGATGACAACAACAACCACAACATCAACAGCAGGAGCAAGAGCTAAAGCAACAGCAGCATCATGCAGCAACAATAACGAGCAACAACAACAGCAACAGCAACAGCAACAGCAACAGCAACATCAACATCAACATCAGCAACACGAACAACAGCACCAGCAGCAGCATCAGCAGCAGCAGCAACAACAACACCACCACCACCACCACCACAACAACAACAACAACCACGACCTCGCGTTCTCTCTGTTGTACTATGATCTTCAACTTCAAATGCACATGCGCGGTGTATGCGTACGTCTGCATGTGTGCATGTGTGTATATATATATACATACATATAGATGTATATATGTATACACACATAGCTCTCTGTGCGTGAGTGCATCTGTGGTTGTATGCGTATGTGCAAGTTTCTTTGCATGTATATGTATGAGTATGTGCGTGGGCATGTCACTGTGTATGTGATGTACATGCATATGTGTATATATATATATATAATTACATATGCTCATGCTCATGCTCGTACACATACATGCAATATAGTACGTATCATACAAGCAAACAAACACAACATGCATACATAATACATAGATACACACACAGCTCATGCTGCATAAGCCCATGAAAATACCTATATCAAAACATACGCATGCATTCAGATTGTTATATGTGTAGCTGTATGCACGGTATATGTATGCCATATCTTCACAGACTAGCTAGCAACTGTTCCGAGGCACAGTACGTCCTTAAAGGTACCAATTTCAGCCACCCGCACGCCAGAAACACACCATGACAATTGCATGTGCTCGTCTCCATTCATTGACGTTGAGGTGCTGGTGACTTGTGACTGTGCTGTTGGGCCGAGCACTGAGCCCTAAGGCTGAATCCGTTTCGGCATAATTACTATATTTTCCCGCAGAAGAGTGTGGCTGCTTTTCGAAGGCCAACCTGTATTCTGTAGATCCGAACTCTGCGTTTGTCGGTGACGATTCTAGTGGTTGTAGTGCTCAGACATTTGTTTGCACGTGCAGATGTCCTCTTTGCGACACAACTGCAACATGAGCTCAGTGCAGGCGGGTCTCCGTCTTTAAGCCTCTTCAAACCAACACAAGTCTGGTGGCCTTTCTCGGCTGTCTTCCGATTCAGGTCATGCAAGATCTCCTGGACACGCCGTGACAGCTAAGTCCGTCGTAAAGATCAACATTTCGAGCCACGTGAGGCAGGAGTCGAGGAGTAGCGCTTACAAGCATCAGCCAATGCATGGGGCAAGCCGTGAAGCTCAATTTGTAGCCTGCATTCTGACCAGCCAAATCAGTTCTCAAGCGCACATGTCTCTTGCTGGCGGCCTCTTAAGCGTCTATGCATGGTTGTAACGACAGCAACGTCGTCCTAGTCTGGCACATTGCATATTTGGGGCAGGATCTGGGCTCGTCTCGTTCTTGGCGAGGTCACGGTGCTACGGAATATCTAAGCACGCTTAGCAGCACTGCCACGTGTGTGCAATAGTTGTGCAATAACTTCCAGGAGCGTTTGCTAAGCGAAATGCACATTTCCACGATGTCGAAGACATCCCGCGATGCTTTGAGTTGCTCGATCCTGCCAACCGCCTCTGTGCTCTGGAAGATCACGCTGCAATGCAGGATGTATCAGCAGGGAATCGACAAGTCGACTGTCAGCATCAAGTCTGCAATCCAAGATTCCGTCAGGCTGTCCAGAAGCCTGGTCTCCTGGCAGTCGAAGCTGAGAAAACCGGAGAGGCCAGGTCGGTCAAACCACAGCCAAGTGATAACGACCAGTACTCTCGGCTTGGCCCATGCTGCCCTTCCCTAAAGCGCCTGAAACATGCACCGTTCCGAGACCTCGGGTAGGCTTCCTGATTCCTCCTTTGACTACCATGATTGATCCATGACGATTCTGGTTCGTACGTACAGTACTGTATGGTGGGAGGGAACTTCAAGTGCAAATAACAAGCAACAGGCGAACTGACCTGGGAGTCTGAGTCGACGTATTGCCCCGAGCTCGTGTCCAAGCGGAAGGAGAGGCCTTCACCAAGGAATTGCGGCTTGGGATCTAGTGTACTGCTTCCGATCGTACAGGTATTGGGTGTATAGGCTATAAGGCCTCAGCCTACATTTCTAAGTCGTGGGCCTCTGGGCTGAGGCAGATGGGCATGCATGTTTTAAAGCAAGGCTTGCAGCAAACAGTCACCGAAGTGTCCTGCAATGGCAGAAGCCGGAACTGAATCCCGTGTAAAGCGACACAGAGCGACAATGAGGGTTGACTCACAGTCCAACTGCAGGGGGACGGCAAGATCTCCATAGGCAATGTGCAGCAAGCTGCAGGCACTTGCTTCGGCCTATGCCTATGAGTCTATGCCTGCGTCTGAGTTCCGTGAAACTGCAGAACACATCTGGATGTCATCTCTAAGTGACCCCATTGACAATTCAAAGACCCTGAATAATCGGCACCTTCCAAAGCTGGCTCCATGCCGAAGTAGGTCTCCCTGAAAGGATCTTGGGGTTCAGGTTCACTCCAGGCTTCGGATTCGAGGATTTGCCGGCTTTCAGGTTGCGTCCGGAGATGTAGGGAAAATAGGTGTCGGTGGAGGGTCGCTCCATGCCAGATAAGGCTGCAGACTGTGGATGACCGCGGGCCGCGGCTCGTGTGGTTTCAATGCACTTGCAGTGCGCAGCACATGCTGCAACGGATGGCGAATCTTGCCTGAAGCTTGCATTACATGTGCCTCAAGCGCAGGCCCAATCCCACTTCCGAGGTAAAGTATTCATCTTCAACAGAGCTGGCAAATGCCCTGTGCCTGCCAGGTCAAGCCAGTTTAGCCAGTCGAAACACGGACACCGAGATGGACATTCCAAAAGCACGCATCACCGAGCCAGGTACGACTCAAGCTGGACACATCAAACAGAACAATAGCTGCCAACCACAGCATTCCCCATCTACCAACTATGGCACAAAACAATGCAAGCTGCAGCTGCTGTGAGAGAACTTCCCGAAAGCGACGCTGACCTCTCGCAGGGCGGTCGGGAGGCATTTTCTGAAAGCATTTCGAGTATATAGGGTATTGACTTTCGGGATCTGCAGTCAAATCATCTGCGATATCAGCAGTCAGGAAGTCCAGATTTACGCCTGGAGAACTCCCCCGCAGCACTTTGATGTTTCACCCACCGCTAGTTGAGCTGCATCTCCAAGCCCTTACCCTGCACATGCCAGTGTTTCCAAACATGCCAGTTCGAGTTGTCAACTCCATCAAGCTGGGAACCCTTGTCTACCAACCAGCTCCCATAGCCTTGCATCCAACCACCACGAACCCGGCAGTTTCAAGACGATGCTGGAAATTGTGCAGTTCGTCTTTGCTTGGTCCGGATCCTGAGCCCAATCTTGATCTGGCTCATGGAACACCAGTGCCTGCATCTGTTGTGATGCGGTCTTCGAAGGTCCGCAGTGCCTGTCGCGAGCAGCAGCAGTAGCAGAGCGTCTGAGGCAGCGAGTCTTGTCGAAGTCAAGCTTCCCGGCCGGGTACCCTATGATCCAGCGTCCGTATCACGGCTACATAGTAGAATCTAGGTTCAAGTGCAAATTGAGGGGATCTTGGGATACTGAGACAATATTGAAAGTGGAGTGGAGGATGCACTCAACCGCGCTCGCCGGAGCAAGTCTGCCACGTGGTCGGCAGGTGCAGTGAATATTCGGAACCGTACCTAGGCACATTGCTCCTCAGATTCGCACTTCTCGATGCCCGTGTCTGAAACAATGTCCGACACCGGAATTCAGCCGATGTCTAAGCCTCACATCAACCCAAACCGACGGCCCAGTATGTTTGAGCGAACAAGGCGAAGCTGGGACTTGCCTCGTGTGCCCAAAGCTTTGCCAGTTGAATCTTCTCAGTAAAGTGATGCGGGGCTGCTCGTGCCACGCCTGCAGAGCGCAAGCATGCAGGGTTCATTGTGCGTTTTTCTCATCTTCTCCAGACTCTTTCGACCAAGAACTGGCAGTCCTGTTCAACTAGATTAACACCTTGTTCTCCAATTCTCCTCTTTGTCACGTTCTGTAGCCTCTTTCGAGCGGTTCGTGCTCGTTTGTTTGTCCCTTTCACCTTGTTTGCACCACTCCTTCACATTCTCCACTGTCTCATCTTCTCTAGTTTGTTTGGCGCAGTTCGCTCTCGTTTCCCGGTTCCTTTGTCGTCCATCTCAACTAGTTAGCACCTCTTTGTCAAATTCGTCTCTTTGCTACGTTCTCTAGTCTCTTTCGAGAGGTTCGTTCCCGTTTTTGAAGTTTGTTAGTCCCCTTCAACTAGCTTGCACCTCTTTCTCAAATACTTCTCGCTCTCTAAGTCAGAGCGAACCGCTCGAAAGAAACCAGACTAGCTGAGAAAGAGGAGAAATTGAAAAAGAGGTGCAAACTAGGAAAAGGACTAACAAAACTTGGAAACGAGAGCCAACTCGAAAGAGACTTGAGAACGTTAGAAGGAGACGAATCTGAGAAAGAGGTGCCAACTGGTTGGTGGGACTTCGTGGAAACGAGAAAAGCGCTGAAAGGAGACTAGGGACCTAAGAAAGAGGAGAATGTGAGAAATGTATTCTCGAGTTGTGGTAGTAGTGGCAGTAGCAGTACAGTAGCAGTAGTAGTAGGAGGAGGAGTAGTAATAATAATAACGGTTGTAGTCGTAGTAGTGGTGGTAGACTTAGAAGCAGTAGCAGGTAGCGGTCACAGCAGCTTCGGCAGTAGCCGTCCACGCAGTACTGGAGCACAAGTGGTGGTATGACGTTAGGAGTGGTAGTAGGGAGTAGGAGGAGGAAGTAGCAGGAGCAGCAGCAACAGTAGGAGCAATGACTGCGGGCAATGCTAGTGGTGGCGCCAGTTGTAGTAGGATCGGGTGAGGGTTCATGCTTCTTGAACCGAGCTTTTGCCTGTCATGACATCTGACATCAACCGATGCGCAAGTAATTCCATGTGCCAAACTGGCAAACACAAACAAGGATCCTGGCTCCAAACATCCACAGCCCCCAGAGGTGCCAGGGCTGATGCGAGGACTGTGAGGGTGAAATGTCGGTTATGGCTCGCGACCCCTCAACTCCTGCTCACTATGCTCACTTACGCTCATTCAGCAGCTTTGCCTTGCTGCGCTCGTCCCAACTCAAAGCCCAAGCTTTGGCTGAACAAGACTTCCGGGGGGTGACGTTAGTTAGCAGCTGTACAGCCGGCTTGGAGCTTTAAGCGGATACTTTTGCTTCACCCTGTTTCTGTATGTAGCTCTATTTTGAAATGCGCAGCTTGGGCGTGCAGTGCTTCCCTCTGCTCCCGAAGTCCCGCGCCTTGCAGTAGCCGAGCCACATCCCTGAGACCTTGCTGCCGAGCGGCTCAGCTGCCGTCACACTGATAAAGCTGCCTACTCTAGAATCCAGTCGACATTGCCGGTCTATACGACCAGAAAATTTATGCTGGCAGGAAACTCTATGCAATCAAGGCAGAGAGCAGCCTCTGGCAAAAGCGATCGAGCTAATAAACATTGAAGGACAATGGAAAACAATCAAACTGATGACTATGCAACACAGCGAAGGAAGACGTGGTTGCTGTAACCAACCAACCTTTCAGAACCGTATGTGTAAACAGAAACCAGGCTATCGTTGCTGAATTTCCCTATTGCTACAGTGATGATAATGATGGTGACGGCGTTGCGGATGGTGGTGCAGGCGGGGTTTGGGCTGCGGGTGGGTGGGTGATGGTGGGTGTGTAGGTGGGTTGGGGGGTGGGGGTGATGCTGATCTGCATGTGTCGTCGCTGCCGTCGTCATCAGCATCGTTGTCCTGGTGCTTGTGGTGTTCATCAACAAAAACATGTCAGTTCCCTCTGAGATCCATGTAGTGCTGAGACACTCGTTATGCCCAACCTCGCAGGTGCATGTTGTCGCAAGACATCCTGCAGCACTTCGGGTGCAAGGCTTCTTGGAAAATTTAGGGGGGCATGCAGTGGTGCAGGGAACACAGTATTTGGGGGGCAGCTGGGAATTCGCTAAGGGTGATTTTGGTATTGGGCATGATTCATTTTAAAGTGCCGAAGAGACAATAGTCTTGGAGCTCTGTCGGGCAGGAAGCAGGCTATGACTGTGCGCAGAAGTGCAGCAGACAGTGCGGTGTGGCTGCCGGTGCCTGCTCCGCAGCTTATGTTCGCTCCTTGTGCGAATCCAACCGTCTCAAAAGTCTGAATGCTTTCTAAAAGCTGCCAAGGCCTTCATCAGCTTCGACAAATGGAGGGTGGCCAGCGCCAGTGCGTCCTGTCAGCTGCTCGTACCACAACTGCATGCCCCCTTAAAGCACTGGTGGGTTCCTCAACGCTATATGGGCCAACGCCCGCGTCCGCACTACGGATATCTCTTGGGACAGTTCGGGATGGACGCCTGAAGCCCGAGAACAAGCCCACTTGACCTTGCACACAACGTCGTTAAGAGAACATGAGATATGCGACATGAGAGTATCTAACAAGTTACAAGCCGATGTGCCAACTGAACGACAAGCCGCGGCATTCAGCATCTTCTGCATAGTGTTACGCCTTCTGCGAGACACCCCCGTCCAAAAATGAGACAAGTTAACCGGTCAATGCTGATCCCTGCACCTCGACTTTGTATCGGCGCGCAGAGCTCGAGCCTTCCTGCGGGCTCTCGGGAAGAGTCGCAGGGGCGCATTTTGGGCTTGTCGGGTCGAGACATTCCGTCTGTTGAAACGGGGTTTGGGGTGCAGGTCCAGCTGCACCTCGTGGGATAGCCTGCAAGTCCGCAGCTTCGAAACCCCTACTGTAGGAAATTAAACATTGCCACAACTTGTATCCAAGAGTCTTGACAGTCTCGGTGAATTATGCACCTTGCATCCGACACCCCTGTGCCCGCCCCCCTAAGTATACCGCGTTGACGAGTGCAAAATCACTCAGTCAATCCCTGAAGTCACGGCCGACGCCGAGACCGCCAACTGCCGCGATCCTGGTGAGCAGAGAAGGCAGCGACAAGGCCATCGCCGGCACCGTTTACCTGGTTCACGGGTCTGTTCTCGAGCTGATCAGTAATCAGTATGACTACTGTTTAGTAGGTTCCTGTGCGAGAATGCAGGCCGAAAACTCCCAACCCTCACCACAAAGCATCTTACAGCTCAACCTTGTTCGCCCAATAGCACGAAAAACGACGAAGCAAAGCTGGGCTTGAACTGGCGCGAGCGCATACGATCTACCAACACAAGGTATCTTGCTCTCCTGCTCAATGTGCGTCGATTTGCCAGACTGTGCCTGGCAAACCCCGAGCGCTAAACATCCATGTCAGACTTTTCAGTGACCGCATGTTCTGCTGGGCTGGTCATGCAGCATCAACTCTGATGCTTGAGGGCTGGGCTTGGTTGTGACTCCAACCCTCTTCGCGGACTGTGAGAAGGGTAATATATAGGGGCCTCAAAAATTAGAATCGGGTTTTGAGGTATATTAAGACTATACTATAGTTCTAATAAGGAGCCCCCAATGTCGTATTGGTCATTGGTTACAGTAGAAGCCCAAAAGTTGGAAACCCAATAGCCTCAATCCTTAAGAGTAATGCATTGGGAATCCCAGCACTATTTGTCCTTAATCCGGTTTCCAACTTTTTGGGGTTTACTATAGGCCCCCATGTTAATTGGGCACATTGCCTCCTGTCTTTCTCCGACCCCCTCCGGCCTGCAATATCTGTCGGGAAACTTCCATGAAAATCTTCTTGACCTTAGGGGAATCAAACTGGAATGTCGGAGATGAGCAGTGTTCATCACAACTCCTCTACAGATCTCAGCGAAATTGAACTGGAAGCCGCGGGACCCACGACGAAACACGTACAGATCTTTTTAGGGCTCAGGTGTACTTTGCCTTAGGTTCAGGCTATAGTGTATGGGTCAGGGAGGGACTCTCGTGAAGGCTTAGCAGGTCGGCCAGAGATGCAGAGATCGTTCGAAACTGTTTCGGGTGTCAGTCCCAACTTACGTTACTCCGTGGAGCTAGGAATCCTACTTGGAGTTCGAGTCATGAAAACACGTGTTGCGAGCAACGCCAGGAGTATCTGAAACGCTGTGGCTATAACTCAGTACTTGCCAATAATGATACTCGAACCTGTTACATACTGCACTAAACGGAATGAGAATGCAGCTAGCTGTACTTTTCATTCGATCCACGCATATGCTACCTTGGGAGAGATATCCCCTAGCCCAGCAGCATCCTCCTCCGCCGGCTCCGGGACAAAGAGCTCCACAAAGTGCCGTGCCAGGCGAGGCATCAGGAGCCCACTCTGGGAGCCTTCACTGGATTTAATTATAGGCCAAGGTCAAAAAAAGTTTCGGCATGCACCTATCATCGCGGCTCGTCCACACTGGTGATGCTGACTCGACTACCACAATCACTACCACCAGCACTGCCACGACGACTGCGACTACTGCCACTGCCACTGCTACTCCTACTCTTACTCCCACTCCTACCCTTACTCCTACACCTACTTCTACTCCTACTCCTGCTCCTCCTCCTCCTCCTCATCATACTACTACTACTACTACTNNNNGCCGCTGCTGCTCCTGCTACTGCTACTGCTACTGCTACTGCTACTGCTACTGCTACTGCTGCTAGGACTAGGTCTACCTTACCACTACGTACCATTGCTTCCTACTACTTGTCTTTTGCTTCTTACTCCTGACGGCGATTGTAACACTAGTATTCTGCCGGTGTTGTTACTGATCAATGAAGTATCCTGTCTTAGTGTCCGCTAATGCTGACAGGCTGTATTTCAGTGGTAGTACCGTTCTAACATGGGATGTTGCTTACACGATGCTACCGCGTCTCGGACTTGAGAATGCACCTTTCCTGCGTGCCAGATTGAAGACCAACATGTTATTCAGGCCTTAAGACCGATCCGTCCCCGGTTCGGAATGGCCCCGACTCAGAATTCCAAGTGCACGCCCGGAGGTGCTACTAGTAATTGCTCAAAAACTGGAAAAGCCATGCCATGGGCCCCTGCACCCCATGATGTGAGAGACCTGACCTGGAGGTCCCGGTTCAGCTCCTCCGGCGTTGCTTGGGCTCAGCATGTTCTTATATGCGCATGTAAGAGAGACCCTGCATGACACCTCTGCCGCCCGCATATGGTAGGCAGGGGGTGGGGGCTTGGTTTGCTTTCTCTGATTGCAACGAGCTAGTTGCAGCAGCCCGCCTACAACAGTGGGTGGCAGGGGTCTGTGCTTGCTCAGGCTCAGTTTCACAGTCGAGTCCCTACATGACCGCAGCGCGTCAAGCTGCAACGTTGCCATTACTTCCGCAGTTTCTGGATAAAATGAGTACAGCGAGCTCTCCGGTTTAGCAAGCCGATCAAGGATGCTTCGAAAGTCTCTCATGCATGCAGATCATCAAAGGGAATTTGTACATCGTCTGGGTGCATGTCAGTGGATTACAAGCAAACACCCCTTCCGGCGGCACTAGAGCCATCCAGAAACGGCTTGACATCGTGGCACCTGTCCGCATTAGTTTATGCCAGAATTTGAGGATTACCTCCGAAACTCTGCACAACCCAGACGTACAACGGACATGCCTTGGCCGGTAAGCCCTGGTGCAGCGCTGCTAGCCACCAGATGGATCCCTGCCCGACCCCAGGGCTTTATCCCGTTCCAGTAGGTCGGACTTTCGCTCCAGGGTCTTTAGGTCTTTAGGATGTGGTTGTCCGGGTTTGGCTTGGAGGTTCAGCGGCTCATGTCTGGTCTGGGTGAGAGCACGAGAGCACTTGACGTGAAGCACGCGCAACATGTGTGTATATAACAAGCATAAATAAATAAATGTATATAAATATAAGTATAAATATAAATATACATGTGTATATATATATATATACACACAATATCAAGGGTGCAGCAGCTTCTGGAGCACTGGTTGATCCAGTTTTGCATGGAGCACTCGTCTTTCAAGGACAGAAGTTTGGGCTTGTGGGTCTCCACGTGGAAGTCACAGGATGTGCCACATCTCAGATCGCGCGGCTGTGACATACTCACATTTTCAGGAAGTAAGGCCGAGAGAGAGCACCGAGACAGCCTGTGCTGTACGCCTTGTTCTGCGCAGGGCAATCAGCATCAGGTCATGAATGTAATTGTTTGTAATTCATGCGGAAAGTTGTCACCGCTCACATATTTGCACAATGTCTTGACCGTGCTGTCTCTGCTGGTATCTTTTTTGCCTGGGGATTTTCTTGATCACGCTGTGAGTGTCCAGCTTCAGCGATAGTGATAGTGTGCATGTGCAAAGCCGTGGGCAGCGGCCGAGGTGCTTGGATTTTGGGGATGTCGACAGGTGCCTCGTTTGGAGCTAACCTGAGATGTCATTTGCAAGTTGTGTTCGAACCGGCGGCGTAAGGCGTTGGCTGGTGGTCGCAATGCACTCGTGGCGCTGTCACCCGACAGAAGATGAAATACTAATAGTGTAACTTGTATCTCTTTAGTTAGTGGCTGTCCAGACAAGAGCCTATAGGGCTCAGTAACTATGCTTCAAGTGCAGGGTTGAGGCTCTCACAAACACCAGTTCTTCCACACATTCGAGCCTTCGCCGCGAAGCCAGGTGTCGTCCTTGCGCAATTTCCGACCATCGGAATACATGAGTTGGGTCTGGGGGTCTTTGAGCTCTTAGGACCCGCAAAAAAAACAAGGTATCTTCTTTGCTCATTGCGGGAGCAGGTTTGGTTGCACGACCTAGCACAGAAAAAAGGCTGACATGGGAACCTTGCTGTTTCGAAGTCCGCGCTGGTCCACAAATCCACGTAGCCTCGGTTGACGAAGTAGGCAAAATGAGAGACCCAACATGCTATCATAGCAGTATGGGCATGGCTGATGAAGAGACTACGGGTACAGCTAAACCGTTTTTGCTTACAGTCCTTGTGAAACCGAGGTGGCTTGCGACACAAAACATTCGGTTTCGAATTTTGAGCTCACGTCAGCCTCCCTTGCACACATTGCCCTGTCAAGGCTCAAGCCAGCCAGACACAAACACTAAAAATCTCAAGCTGTCCCGAAATAAATGATTGAATCTGGATCGTTTATGCCAGGAATTGGAGGACTGAGGCATCGTGAGTACGTCAGCACTTTGTATAGGTTGCAACTCAATATTTCATGAAATTCCAGGCGTCCCCACATCCAGACATCCGAAGATGCAGAATCCAACCCCAACATGTTGACAAACTTCGGGGCGAGGAGCAGCTCCAGGGCCCCAAGCTTTGGCAAATTGAGATCCTCGATACGGATCCTGATTCGCACATCCCTTTGCACTAACTGCAGCATGAATGTACGCAAGACATGAATGTGCAAGCGACGGAGGGCTTCCCAATGCCTTCTACAGCCCTCAAAGGTCACATACGGATATGACGAAGATGTGGTCCCTTGACCCCGTATACCTTGGGGATTCACACGTGTAACATCCTCGTACCAAGCATGGCTTGCTCGGAGTGGATCGGGCCAAACAGATGCAAAGCCCTATGTGATGGCAGAGAGTCAGCATCTGCCCTGCGAAAAGACGGCGGCCGGGTCGACACTGAAGCGCCGCCTCGAGGCGGATACAAAGGAAAATGAACAGATCGCTTGGAATAGTCGCTCGCGGCTTGGGGAACCGAACCGGACCACAGATTCACAGCCTGTGGCCACACATTTTGAACCCTTGTCCTTGTGCTCAAACAGCCTAGAGGAGTCCCGCTAACTAGTCATGCCATGCGCAACTCCAAACCCAAATCAATAGCTCGAACCCAAACGGATTCCTTTGGCCCACGAAGGTTCCATGGAACCTCGGATCATCCGATTATCCCCTCCTTTGGATGGCCGGCGAGTCGCCGTTACCAGCGCCGTCTGCATCTCCGAACAACCAACTTGGCGGCTGAGAATGGTGCCTGCTCCAATCGGCTTCAAGGAGGTCTGGCCTGTTGGTGCTTGGATTATAAAACTGCAGATCAAATATGTCAATATGTCGGACAAGGTCGACTGGCTCCTAACATTACGTGCTGATCCAAGCAAATCTTTGGTTTGGCAGAAAAGAAGAACCAACAAAGACGCACTGTGCACCCCAGCCAACAGCAACGACAACAACAACAACAGCAACAGCAACAGCAACAGCAACAAATACCACCACCACCACCACCACCACCACCACCACCTCCGCCGCCAACACTCCCTCTGCCAGCGGCAGCCCAGGGAAATGCATCGCCGCTGCCAAAGCCAGCCGGCAACAGCATCTCAGCACCAGCACCCTCATGATTCTCATCATCACCAGCAACAACAACATCAACATCATCATCGTTCATCATCATCATCATCATCATAAACATCATCTTGCTGATGACGACCATCATCATACCGTCACCTGCCACCACATGCCATCCTCACCACCTTACCACCAGCTTTGCTACATGTGTCTTATCGTTGTGGCCGCACTCATCATCTTGTTGGTATGTGGCATCAAAACTCCTATCTGCCTACCCGTTGCCAGTTACCCGTTGCCACCGCTGTATTCATCCTATCTTCATACTCGACATCAACATGTGACTAGTTCAAAAAGGTATGATACCATTTAAGATAATCATCCAGTGTGCCATGGATGCACACATGCGACCAACTGGCAGGGATCCAGAGTCAACACAGCTCAGGAAACGGGTTTCAGAGAACATTCATTGGCTGAAAGGCTGAAACAATGGAACAGGTAACAGCCACATGTCTGGATGATTGCCAGGCAAGATATCGAGTTGCTGTGGCACAAGCGGGCAAACCTGAAATAGAATGCTGCGCGATACGCACAAAGCCTATTCCACAACAGCACTCATTGATTTCGACCTGGCTACAGCGGCTCTTCCGATCCAAGCTGTGGAGTTCGGGTGTGACGGGGGGGGAAGTTCAGCTAGCGTTTGCTGCCCCGTCTCGTCTCCCTCCTGCCTACTGTCATCCACTTCTGCAGGACGGCCAGCGACTGCTGAGCGGATGATACTATCCTCACGAGGCAAGGATCTGTGCAGCGAGTTCTGCAGATGTTCTATCTGACTAGTAGTTTCATACAAGTGCCCTGTCCCATGGTTGGAGAGCGCGGTGTGGAATGCGTTTCACAGATGAAAGTCTGCCTGTGGAGTGACCCTGTACAAATCCAAGTGCTAAATATCATGCAAGACAACGGCGACAGGGCTGACAATTTGGCTCTTCGCCTAGATCCAGGGGCTTCGGTGCTTGCATGGTTCCAGAACATGTGTCTATGCTTTCAGTCCAGTTCACAGCCTGGGGCTTAGGACTGCTAGACTCCCAATGACACTCGCAATCATATCTTTACCTGGAAGGTCGATGGTTTGGAGCTTCGGCTTCACGCTGCCAGCTTCAACTGGGAGATTCGAGCAAACAACGAGAGTGCCTCTATAATCTCTTCGTGCAAACAGGTTGATACTGAAAGCATGCATGTAAGACAGGTGGCATCGATTTTCCGACGCAGGGGCTGCCGGAGATGAACCTTTACACGGCACACGCCATCAAAGGCTTTGGGGCTTCGGCTATACTACGGCGGAAGGGATCGCAGCTCTGGGCGTAAGCTCGGATTTTGCAAGGTGGAATTGCAGAGCTACTTCCAGAAAGCTTCGCTGGGATTGTGCTCTCCGAAACTGAAACTTGGGGTCCTCGCAGCAACGAACTCAGACCCAACCTGAAGAATCGAACTCCAGGTTTACAAGACCGCTCTTAGCTTACGCACAAGAAACCTGCCTAGCCCCAACTTCGGCTGACAAAGGGGATTAGGGCCAGGGTGTCCCGGTTCTGGGTGTAGGGTGGTGTAGGTCAGCAAGACCTCGACAGCTCGAAAACAACCCTCACCTCAAAGCCTGGAATGTGGTCTGTTGTGGGCATCAGTATCGATATCCAGCGGCCAGTGGCACTGAAATAGAGGTCGGCTTGTTGCTGCGACCAGGTGTTTGTTCAAGAATATCTGCAAAGAGCCGCCAGTCAAGTTGAGCTTCGGTCTTGCCTCCGCGAAGCTGCACGAAAGCCACAACCATCTCGAAGTCACTGCGAAAATGGGTTGTCAGAAATGTTGAGCGTAGGAAGTGTGAGCTCGTCGGCTCACAGAACAACAGCCGAGAAGCACACTGTTGCCCGCGAGAAGGAGGTTGTAGCTCAAGTAGCTGTACGACATCCTCGGAGGTACACTTGGCTGCTGGAATGGTCGTATAGATGTGAGTGAGACAGTCATGTCAGCACATGACGTGCAGCCTACCATTCGCAAGGATTTCGCACCGTGGATCTCCTCAACTACAAGCACTCATAGCAGGCACACAATCAATTACAAATTCAAACCTGTTGAGCGTACCGATAAGACAAGACAAGGACCTAGAATCGTTCGATGGGGTTTTCCTTCAGGGTGGGATGGCTTCATGGCGAGGCCGACATGCAGACCAGTAGAATGAGTTGTTGCACCGTGTACCGTAACTCCCTCCACGTGGTCAGACAAGAATCTCGCAACAAGTTATATTGGTGGGTCCAGGGCAGGGTCGCAAGTCCGCAACAAAATCGGCCAACCGTCTCTGCTGAAATGAGGAGACTCGTGAGAAAGACCACAAACTGAAAGCTCAGCTGAACCAAGTACTTATAAGACCACACCCAGGCAATTCATGAAGGTCTTGTGTCAAGAAAACTGGTCTACCCAAGGCTCACACTCAGACTGACAAACGCCACCCAGCTTAACAATCTCCCAGAATTGACGCAGAAGTAGGTTCTGCATGGCTTGTGATATCATCATGGTTACGCTTCTGCCAATGGGCTTTGCTTGGTCTTCCAAGTAATTCTGCCGCTCCTCCAGTGCTTCTGTACTTGGTTTGCTGACGCGGTTCCCTGGCACAGTTGGCACAGCTATGTCTCCATAAAGATCTGCCTTGCCTTGCTCCTCCAGGCGGTCTGGGTCTAAGTGTTGGGTTTGGGGCTTGAATACTGCTCGTCCACAGGAAAGGCTGATGACTTTCTGATATTTCTTTGCCATTAACGCATCGTGATATCTCTGATCTTGCATCGTACATTCCAGCACTGCTTTTCTTCCCGTCCGCATGCACCAAGAAAAGCATGACACGTTGCTGCTTGGCATGTCTTAGACTGAAGGTCAGAACGATGAATGCATCTTATACGATGTGCTTCTTCTGCCGAAGCTTACGGCCTCAATACAGCAAAATTCACGCACGGGCAACACCGCAATCTGAGCACCTTCAAGATGGGGAACTGTGCGGCTTCCGAACACGGTGGACTGTGCTATGGCATTAACGGCATATAAAAGAACATTTGCCCGAACCGCTATAGAAGACAACGCGTGCAGCGAATGCATCGAGAAAACTTGATGTGGCATCTCAGATGAGTGGGCTGTGACGGTGAGGCCTCGACATTACTCCGCTCACTTAGATTAGGCCTGCATATTTCAGGATCCACGCCGTTCTGGCCTCACGAACCGAGAACTTGGTCGCACGCATCACCAAAGACCCCTCCCAGACAACCCCAGCGGAACCTGCAGAATCTTGCTTGACAACTGATCACCGTTCCTGAAAACCCCTGCCCAGGCCTCCTGCATGGCCACGGGAAGTTGGGAATACCAGGGACTGAAGTATCCGGCTTCAGGATCCTGCCATGCCGTGTGCCAAATTTCTTGCCTTACGGCTTGCGACCGAAGTTTTCTGATATCAGCACTGCACTCACAAGAGATAGAGAGACGAAGGGTTAGTGCTAGGGAGCTCATCATACTCAACTGTTGAGCGAGATTCTCAACAACTCCAAAAGGAGATCAGTCACGTCTTTCATGTCGTGTGGGGGAGAGGCAGTCGCGGCTTCAGCCTATCACAGGTAGAACTTGTACTTACAAGGACTGCGCCAGGAAAATTCCAAGATGAATTGGAGGAGCCGCGCATGTCCGGCTGCATTTATTGCTGGCGACAAATCTTCAAAAGCCCAAGTCAAACGCCAACCTCCCTCCTCTTGGCATTTTCGCCGAAATTGGCACCCAAAGCCTCGATCTTAGAAGCCTAGACCCTACAGTTCCAAAGCCCATGCTTGAATGAAGCCTGATGCGCTAAGCAACTGCATGGGTGCTGTGCTGCCACCTTGCGGTTGCTGTCAACGTAAACGTCGCTGAGCCTCAAGGCCCGAGAAGCCACCACTGCAAATAACAAGACTGGCAAGAAAGAGCTGCGTGATCCCATTCCGTACTCTTCTGACGCAGAACCGTGTACGGTTGTGCCAGGAAGTACTATTGCGCCTGTTGTTGGCAGTTGTTGGTGCGAGCGTCTGAAACTCGGAAGGTTTGATTGACAAAATTGACGGTCAAGACATTGATCGGATGGCCCTTGTTCGAATCCTGGCCCATTTGCATATCATGCTCTCGCTACCTAGACGGACAAGTGCATACAACAAAAACGAAAGCAAACAAACACAACTAACACAATATATGAGCAATTGAAACAGGGAAACGGCCCAACAAATAAACACACACACACACTCAGAGCAAGCATAAACAAGCAATGAAGAACACGTGAAAGACAGAATCAACCACACAAAAGAACAAACAATCACTCAAGCAACCAAACAAGTACACAAACGGCAAATCTTACATACCTACCTATACCTACCTACCTGCCTACCTACCTACCTACCTACCTACCTACCCACCTACCTACAAATACTCGAAAGTACTTGTACATTAACTCATTCAGTCACTCACTCATTCATTCATTTGCTGAACATTCAGTATTCAATCTGTGACGGATTCATTCATTCACAAACTCCTTCGCTTGCTCGCTCACTCTCTCCCTCACTCACTGACTCGCGCACTCATGTACTCACTCGCTCGCTCGCTCGCCCACTCATGCACACACGCACGCACTCACTCAAT